TCATGGTCAAATGCAAAGTGAGGCCGTGAGCGTCGCTAGTAACAGAGAGAAGAGCTTAAAAGGTGCAAGAAGCTTTGCATCATGCTTGTTGCTATGGAGCTACCCAATAGCATAGCTGACTAACGTACAAAGGGGTTTAATGTTGTAATGTGATTGCAGTGGCAGCTGAGGAAGTGAGAAAGAGAAGCTGAGAAGTTTTACTAGAAATGATTAGCAAAAAATATAACTAAATGGAAGTTACAGGTATCTTAAGAGGAACAAAATTAATAACTTGGACCTTGCCCCCTCCCAATCATTTATTTATTTTATTTTATTTTATTTCATTTATTTAGAAATAGGGACAATGCATATTAATGAACAAATACATGAGTATACATATGTAAATACGCCAGATTGTAGCCCACGGCTAATTTCCATCTGTTATCCCTATAGGCAGGTTGAAGACGGAGTTAAAATTCATAGCAACCATGTATACACAATACAGAAGACACAAGAAGTGCACAATATACATTGAAAATACATCAAGTGTAGCCCATGTCAACACCAGAAGTGACCAGGGATATCATAATATTGCACATAAACACTATTGCACATCAATCAATCAATTCAATCAATTTTATTTATAAAGCCCAATATCACAAATCACAATTTGCCTCACAGGGCTTTACAGCATACGACATCCCTCTGTCCTTATGACCCTCGCAGCGGATAAGGAAAAACTCCCCAAAAAAAACCCTTTAACGGGGGAAAAAAACGGTAGAAACCTCAGGAAGAGCAACTGAGGAGGGATCCCTCTTCCAGGACGGACAGACGTGCAATAGATTTCACAGTCTGTATTCATACTGAAAAATCAAGATTAAGCGAGCTTTTGCTCTTTTTGCCCTCCCTGCTCCACGGGAGGTTTCTATCCTCCCTGAGCTCGCCTTAGGACACCTGCGTTATCGCTTGACAGGTGTACCGCACCAGTAAAACTCCCCACCTGCCACTGTCCCCGAAGCGGACATGAGCCCATTGCACGTGACCCCAGGACAATCCAACAATAATGTCAAAAGCATATACAGTACAAGACAAGACCAAAACATTCAGTGCAATAAAATACAGTGCAAAAAGGAGTTTGAGTGGGGGACTGTAAGTAATGTGTAGACGGAAGATGAGACTGCAGCAATTCAAAGTCCTGTTCATGATTCTTGTTATGCTGTATAGAAAGAATGGATGTGAATGAGTAAGGTTATAAAGTGCTGCAGTGCTCATATTGTATGAAAATTAATAGCTGGTGGTGTAAAAAAAATGAGTTACATTTAAGTTATGTTAAATTAGGGAGGAGGAGTCTGTTGAGGGTGTGTATGGAAAATGAGATTGCAACAATGCGAAGACCAGTACAGAATTTTTGTTCAAATTTTGGAGTTGTGCTGAGATGGATTGAAAAATGAGTGAAAGAAAGAAAAAAAAAC